CCCTTATGATTCACAGTGGCTTCAATGGACCAATCAGGCCCCTCCATTATACCGAATTCTTTCTTCTGTTATTGTAAAACAAACCTCATGTGTTTTTATATGTGTGGTTTTGAAATATATATAGTAGGCATACTTTAAATTATTTAGTTCAGAAAAATTATGGTTATATCATTTTTGTTCATGCTAAAGATATATATAACTGTTAGATTCAACTGGCTGGTGTTTCATTTGCTTATTTTAACCTTGACGTATTCTTCTTCTGACCAATTAATGGCGTAGAGTCAAAAACAACTGCTTAAATGTGTCAAGAGATGAAATAAGCCAGATTTTCATTATATTTAATAGAAATATGAAAGCACATTCTGTCTAATCTGCTTAAAGAAAAAAACTATCAAGCTAGTAAAACAAAAAGTTATTTTGATGAAACATATCTCATTCCCCCGGTTTCTCCAATTTGCTTTCGAACCCTGTTTATAATGATCACTTTAGTTTCTGTTCAAGCACATAATACATCTTGCTCGTATCTATAGTAACACCATTTTTATCAAGCCTAATGATTCTCATGCATATAAGCCACTAGAAGTTTCCTTTAGGCCAAATTAACTAATTAAACTTTACAAACCACACGACACTACTGACTTTAATTAACTTAATTAAGCCAAAAAAAAATGGTTTCAGACACTGACTTTGCGAGAATAAAATTGACTAAGCAATAGAGTATGTGCGGTTAGCCTTGAATAAGTGGAATTTAGCCTAGTTAGAGGCTAGAAATTAATAATTTAAACCAACTAGTTTGAGAAACATGTAAATCTTCAAAACAAACAAGCAATTTTCATACTTGTCATACCATTACTGCTCGTATAACGAGATATATCAAACATTAATTATATTGGAATACATTGGTAAAGTTAGATATACACGCAGATATAGTTGCAAACATAGAAATGAAGGCTTTTGTTCTTAGTTCAGCCTATGATTTAACATAAAGATTTAAGACAGCAACCATCCATCTGGTTATAGAGTATTACCATGTCAGTTTTATTTGCAATAATATATGCA